GGCTCTTGGACACCTCCAGCAGTGGGGGGTCCCCTCCACACACCCCCCAGCCGCTCACATAGCCCCTATATCCATTCCCGCATCCATCTGTCCCCTTGTGCCACCATCTCTTCATCCTTATTCAACCATCCAAGCCTATGCAGAAGCATTTTCTCCTCCCGTGACCCTCCATCCACCCTCCCTTTTGCACCGTCACCCTTCCAGCCCGGTGCTGATGTCCCTCGGGCACTGTTGAAGGTCCCATCTGCTGCCGTGCCCCCCAGGAAGCCTCTTCTCCTCCCCAGGCCCTGAAGTCCTACATGGAGAAGGAGGTGACCTCGGTGAAGACCAACCACACAGTGGTGGACCTGGTGCGGACACCCGTGGTGCGCCGCATCTCTTGCTGCCTCTCTTTCGTGTGGTGAGCCCCATCCTGGAGGAGGGTGACCGGGAAGGACACAAGTGGGATAGATTCACGTCCATCCATGGATCCAACTGCCAACTCCTCCATTCGTCCGTCCATCCATCCGTCTCCAAATACAACCATCCACCTGCGCCTCCACCCACCCTCCCTTTGTCCGTTCTTCCATCCCTTCAGTCTGTCCAACCATCTCCATGCCCAACCCTCTGTCCATCCACATGTGCAACCCCTTTCCCATTGACCCCTCTTAATTGGATCCATTTTGGAAGGGGAAACTAAGTCACAGGGCAAGACTCAGGCAACAGCGACATACTGGCTCCCCCGTCTCCCCAGGAAGAGACACACACAGCGGGCTGGATCCCATGGGCCAGGGGCTGGCAGGTGACCCCAGGTCCCCAGCTCACGAGAGTTGTCCCTGTGTGGCCCTAGGTTCTCCACCAGCTTCGCCTACTATGGGCTGGCCATGGACCTGCAAAACTTCGCCTTCGACATCTACGTGATCCAACTCGTCTTCGGGGCTGTGGACATCCCAGCCAAGCTGGTCTCCATCCTCACCATCACCTTCGTGGGACGACGCTTCACCCAGTCCCTCGCTCTCATCCTGGCCGGACTGGCCGTCTTGGCCAACATCTTCGTGCCACAAGGTGAGGTCTTGTCCCCCAGCTCTACCACCCACATCTGGGGTGTCACCAGCACAAGCCACCCCCTTGGAACCCACCTTGCCATCCTGCAGTGACATGTGTCCACCATAGGTCATCTCAGAGGGTCAAAAACGAGCTCAACCCCACACAGCACACCTTCTTGGTAGTGCATGGACCATCCTGGGGAAAGCTGATTTGTTTTAGCTTTTATTGGGTGATTCACGGAAAAATCCTAGGGTTTGGCGGGGTGGGGGAGGGGGGTGTTGAGGGGAGTCCTTCTCCACCGACCACCCTGGTCGCCGGCCTTGGCTTTGACGTCCTCATCCCCGCAGACCTGCGAACGCTGCGGACCATCCTGGCTGTCTTCGGCAAGGGTTGCCTGGCCTCCTCCTTCAACTGCGTCTACCTCTACACAGGCGAGCTGTATCCCACCGTTATTCGGTAAGGAGGGGGATGGGGGGGGAACATGGGTTTTCAGGGCTCCTGAGCTAGTCGCTGATGATGTCCCGGTGCCCCCACAGGCAGACGGCCATGGGGCTGGGCAACACCATGGCCCGCATCGGCAGCATCACAGCCCCGCTGGTGAAGATGGCCGGCGAGGTCTTCCCCACGCTGCCCTTCATCATCTACGGGGCGGCCCCAGTGGTGTCGGGGCTGGCGGGGCCCCCCCCCCCCGCGGAACTTGCCGCTGCCCGAGACCGTGGAGGAGGTGGAGAGCAGGTGGGGAGGAGGCTGCGAGGCAAGAGTGTGGGGGGACGGAGCATGGGTTGGGCATGCGGAAGGGGGGGTCAGGGGAGGGATGGAGGATGGAGGGATGTGGAAATGGCAGCGTGGGTGGGTAGGGAGGTGGATGGATGTGTGGTCACGGCTGGTCATGAAGGGATAGATAATTGCTTGCATGTGGTGATGGATGTGTAGGCAGATGGATGGAGAGGTAAGTGGTTGTGGTTAGGGATGGAAGAAGGAATGGATGGATGGATGGATGAAGAGATAGATGGACAGATGAAGGGATGGAGGGGTAATTGGATGTGTATGGAGACGGCTGGATAAGTGGTTGTGTTTGGGGCTAAAAATGATGGATGGATGAAGGGCTGGATGAAGGGCTGGAGGGATAATTGAGTATGGAGATGGATGGATGAGTGGTTGTGTTTGGGGATGAATGGATGGATGGCGGGTGTGTGTGTGGAGACAGACAAATGATTGTGTTTGGGGATGGACAGATAAGTGTGGAAGGGATGGGTAGATGGATGGATGGAGAGTCAGAGGGATGTCTAGGAGGATGGTCACACAGATGGGTAGCTTGATGAATGAATGCCTGGGGATGGGAACACATGGACAGGTGGATGGGTGGGTGGATGGAAGGATGGATGGATGGAGTGGTCTATGGGTGGATGGTGGGATGGACAGGTGGCAGCTGGATGGATGGACCTGGCCAAACGTTCAGGTAGACGGCGGTGGGGACGTCAGGCTGAAAAGTCACCGGGCACCTATGGCCCCCCCACCCCAGCTCTGCTCTCTCATCCCACCAGGACACGTCCCCAGACGGACGAAGCCCAGCAGCTCCAGGTCCTGCTCCAACCTGCCCAGCCCAGCCCAGCGCCCAAGGAGACCCCAAAGCCCTGCTAGGGCCAAGCCCCTCCTGGGAACAAGCTGGGGTTGCCCAGAAACACCCAAAACCCCCAAACCCTCCCCAAACATTCTTGAAGGCACCCAATGGGCCAAGGAGGAAGGAGTGGGGCCGGTGGGGTGACCATCAACTTGGGAGAGAGCAAAGGGACGGCAGCGCCGACCCCGGGCAGACGTCGCTCCCTCTTGCACCGGCACCGGGGAAGGGACCCAGGCATCCGGGTGCCCCATTCTCCCGTCCTTTCACACATTGCAAAAAAAAAAAAAAAAAAAAGCTTACCTTTGTTAGATTACACAGAAATTCCGCAGTCCTTGTTCAAAATCCCAGTGACAGCCACTGTTTTGCTGTACAAGAAGACTACTGCCAAAGATGGATTTAGTAGGGTTAAAAAAAGGTTTAAAAAGGTTTAAAATTTTTTAAAAAGACTTTGGATCCAATTTGCAAAGTTATGCAAGCTTCTGTCAGTGAAAGTAGAACCTGTTGGATTTTTTAAGTTGCCTAAACAACTTAGTTTTGAAGGTCTAGCTCTTTAATTCTAAAAAGAACTGTCCTTTAAGGGTTAGTGATTATCTGACCTAGGCCTGCAGTATTAATAGAAGCTATCTTACGCAAACACATTTCTACTAAAAAGGAAAAAATCAAGGTTAGCTTCTTCTCAGGAAAGGATGTGACTCTTAAAGAACATGCAATGCTTGTGAAATTGTGTAAAGTTAAAGTGACAGTCGAGTGAATTAGCATTCTTTGGATTGCTGCACTTTCTGAATCATTAGGAAATTATGGGAGAAAGTCTCAAAGTTACTTTACCTAGTCTACATGTGTGCTTTAAGCCTTGGAAAGTGCCTTAGAAGCAAATCATGACTCTGACACAGGAATGATTTAGTGGCTCTTTTCAATGGCTGAGAATTGTTCAATACTTTTAGCAATGAGGATATTGCTAATATTTATTAAATGCTTCTGCCTTTCATCTCTCCTATTTTTGGGCAAAAGGGTTTATGCATGGGAAATGACAATGGTTCATCCTTCTGACAGTCCATGATGCACTTGAGTCATCTTGTGCCTCCTACAGGGTCTCTTACTTTTTTAGAAGTGAAGGATGGATACAGCAAAATGCAGGCTGGAGGCTCTAGGTCTCTCCTGTAGTAAATTAAGTAGGAGAAAGGCATTGTAATTAATGGAACAGAAAAAATAATAACCCTAGTGACTAACTCTCGTAAACCCTAATCATTTAAACCATTTTCTTTTACTGCTTAGCAAGGGTCAAGCTAAACCTGGGTGCCCACTGCCCCGTTGCACCAGCTGCAATTCTCCAACCAGAGCCACAGCAAAGACCATGGGTCCTGAGGACCCAGGTGTCCCAAGGACCCAGGTATCCAGGCGCCCTGCAGCCTCTGCCCCGTTGCACCAGCTGCAATTCTCCAATCAGAGTCACAGTGAGGACCCAGGTACCACGAGGATCCAGGAGTCTGGGTACCCACTGCCCCGTTGCCCCACAGCCCCACATCACAGTGAGGACCTAGGTGTCCCGAGGACCCAGGTGTCCAGGCACCCACTGCCCCATTGCACCACTCCATGTCACAGTGAGGACCCCGGTGTCCTGAGGACCCAGGTGTCTGGGCAACCTGCACCCACTGCCCCATTGCACCAGTTGCAATTCTCCAACCAGAGCCATAGCGAAGACCATGGGTCCTGAGGACCCAGGCATCCAGGCACCCACTGCCCCATTGCACCACCCCACATCGCAACGAGGACCCAGGTGTCCTGCCAGTCT